AGGGGTGGGTGTGTGGAGGGGAGTGGGGCGGCGGGGTGCATCGGGGGATGGGGAGGAGCGTGTGCCGCCGTGCGGGCATGTGAGCTGGCTGGTGGTGGCGGAGGAGGTGGGTGGATGTGTGGGTGCCACCAGTGGTACGGGACGTCCCTTTACGTCTCACCACCCAGGAATGGCTACGTGAGTGGTGCGGGACGGAAGGAGGGGGCGGCGGCGGCGCGCACCCGACTGCTGGATCCAGGAGCGGCGCCGGGAGGCGCGCAGGTTATGGTACAGGAAGTACGCCACCCGCCGGGCCTCCTGCGAGCGGCGGCGGGACCAGGGCAGGCAGGCAGGCAGGCAGGAGGCCAGAGGAGGGGCAGATCAGCGCTCAACGGCACCCCAGAAACAGTCGACGGCAGGCCAGTGATGTACAGCGCTTTACAAAGCACGTGCCGGCCCAGGTGCTGCTGGCAACAGGCAGCAGGCAGGCAGGCCCCGGGCACCCGCACTTGGTTGTGCTCATCTTTGGTAGAGCCGCACCTGCTCGTTGCTGTTGGCCCCTGGCTTGTCCTTCAGGTTGCCCAGATGGTCCACAAGCGTGAGCTGCACAGCACAGCACAGAATGACCACAGCGTGGCCACAGCATACCGCCGATGGCACAGCGTGACCACAGCACAGCGTGGCTGCAGCACAGCGCAACTTTCCGTGGTGGGGGTGCGATCCGCCGCCACTCCCAACCAGCCGCCGCCCCACCCCTCTACGCACCAACTGGCGCAGCCGGCCTCAGCACTGTCCCGCCACCCAGTGACACACACAGCTGCACAGCCAGCGGCCCTCGCCTTGAGCTGGTTCTTGCGGATGTGCTTCTCAATGTGCTGCATCTTCTCCAGCTCCTCAGGCGGCATCTGGGGCAGGTGGTAAAGGGGAGGGGCAGGAGAGGGAGGGCGGAGAGAGCGTGAGAGAGCGGGGGTGGGGGTGGGTGGGGAGCAAGGACAAGCAAGAGGTAGAGAGGTAGGAGAGTGGGGGCAGGTACACGAGAGCAGGAGGGTCAGAAGAGGGTGGGAGTGCAGGAGAGTGAGTGTGATGCCCAGGGGGGCAACAGGAGAGGCATCTGGGGGCAGGGGGTGGGAGGGCAGTAGGGACTGCCGGGGGGCCAGGAGAGGCTGCGCGGGGGAGCAGGGGAAGCGAGAGGCGCCGCCAGGCGCACCTGCACAATTGAGGTGCGGCGGTGCCGCGCCCGCAGCTGCTCCCGCGTGTGGCCCAGGTCGAGCAGCTGCTGCAGCGGCGGTGCCGCCTTGCCGCCGCCGCCGCCCGTCGAGCGCAGGGAGGCCAGCGAACCCTGCTTGGAGGTGACCTGCTGGCGCGGCGTGGGCGCAGCGTGCGGCGCAGCGTGGGCGCAGCAGTCGGCGCAGCATGCGGCGCAGCGTGAGGCACAGCGTGGGCACCGAGTTTAAGGAACAAAGACCTGGCATGTGCGCTGCAAGGAGGCCAGCCCTGCGCGCCGATCCCGGCAGCATGCAGCGCTCGCGAGGCGCGGCAACCACAGCACAGCACAGCACAGCACAGCACAGCACAGCACAGCGGCTTCCCTTACCCGAAAGGCGTAGCTCTGCCTGGCGGCGGGCAGCGAGGACAGGGCAGAGGTTTGGAGGGAGGCAAGGGAGGCGCGCAGCTCGGGGCGCGCCGCCGCCGCCGCCACCTGCTCCATGGCGGCGCCAGTGGGGCTCAGCGTGCGGGACAGCTGCCCCGCCAGCTGCCGCTGCGGCTGCGGCTGGCCTGGTGGCGCCTCTGCGCTGCCCCTGCCCTCTCCGCCGAAGCTGCCGCCAGCGCCGGCTGCCCGTCCCAGCCGGCTGGGCTGCCGCTGCAGGGGCGCCAGCCCGGGCGCAGCCGCGGCCTGCGGGTCCGACCACCGAGGGTCCCGGCCAGCCGCCGGCACCCCTCCTGCTTCCAGCCCCACGCCGGGCTGCTGCTGCGCCTCAGCCTGGCTGGAGTGCTGCCAAGCGTCAGCCTGGCTGGGGCGCTGGGAGCCTGCCGGCAGTGAGGGCCTGCTGCTCAAGGTGTGAAGGTTGGGCATGCTTCTGCAGGAGGGCTGCACGCCTGCACCCACCATCACACTGATGCTGGCCAGCGCGGCCCCCGCCGCCTGGCTTGGCTTGTTGGGGAGGAAGGAAGCGGAGGCGGTGCTGCGCTGCGCTGCGCTGTGCTGTGCCGTGCTGTGCTGCGCCGTGCTGTGCCTGCTGGGACCGCCGCCGCGCCCCGGTCCCGCCAGCGAGCCGTCGGACAGCTGGCGGCCCTCCACCAGCAGCGAGTCAGACTGGCTGCGCTGGAGGGAGCTGCGGCCGGTGAAGGAGCGGACCATGGAGGGCAGCGTGTGCATGGCGGCCACGCTCTGCACGACACGGGCAGGGGCCGAGGGGCGCGGCAAGCAGCGGGCGGCGGCGGTTGTGAGCCGAGCAAGTGCGCAGCGCAGGCGGCGCCACACACACACATGCCATGCACACCGCCCCGTCCTCGCACCGTACCAGCGCCACACCACAACACCCCCTGCCGCTGCTTCTCAGCGGGCAGATGCCCAGGCAAGCAGGCATGTCGCGCAGGGCAGGCCCCGCTCCCCCGCGCCGCGCCTTGGACAGGAACTGGCGGCTCAGCCAGCGCTTGGCAAACGACTTGGGGTGCGGCGCGGCGCCGCCCGCCACCTGCCCCTCGCTGCCCACGCTGTCGCGGTGCTCCCGCGGCTGGGACAGCACAGACAGAAAGTACTCCTGTGGAAGGAAGAAAGACCGAGAGGAAAGGGCGGGGTTGCGCACAGCAAGAGTGGGGCATGGTGACAGGTGGGAGAGGCTCCTGCCAGCTGGCTGTCGCCAGTCAGCTTGATCTGGGCAGGCCCACGCCTGCACCCGCCGCCCCACCACGGAAGCTCAGCGCGCGTCCACACACACACACAGGCACTCCCACCTTCCTCAGCGCCTCCTGCACGCGCCCAAAGTGGGCCTCCTTGTGGAAATGGGTGGCCATGAGCTTGATGAGGACCTGGCACAGGCAGGCGGGGGCAGGGTGGAGGGAGGGGCAAGGGAGGGTGGCTTCGATCGATGGTGGCAGTGTGGTGCTATGGTGGGGTGTGCCACCGTGGCGGCGCGCGTAAGTGGGTGCATGTGGCGGGCGAAGGGCGGGGGTTGCTAGGAGGGCGGGAGGCGGCGGCGGGAGGCGAGCGGGCACATTTGCGTGCACACAGCCGCCGCCACACGAGGGGGTGCTCAAGTCGGCGGACGCCTCGCTCCCTCTGCAGAGCTCTGACGCCCGCGACGCACCTTCTTCACAAGGTTGGCAACAGTCATGAGCACCATGCAGCCTGCGGGTGTGTGTACACGTGTGTGGGTGCGGCGGCGATGCCAGGTGGCGGCGACAGGCGGCGGCGCCATGCCACGCTGCCGTTGGGCACCCAGATGCCGACTGGCCAGCACGCAGCGGCCTGGCCAGCAGCAGCTCCCGCTACCCACACACACTCTCACCCCGCAGCTCGACGATGAAGCGCAGACAGCCGTAGCCGCAGCCGCAGCCAGCCAGACCGACCGACACCCAGCTGGCGCACGCCACCCCCGCGACCACCCACCCACCCACGCCGCCGCCTCTCACCCAGGAGCTTGATGATGATGAGGAAGACCTTCTGCACAGCGGCATCCTCGTCCAGGTTGGGCTGGGTCTGGAAGAGGGCGGCGAAGGCGGCCAGCACCAGGCAGGAGCGCAGGACCAGCATGAGCGCGCCGCGCGTGCCTGCACGGCAGCAGAGTGGGCGCCGGTGCCGGCGCCGGTGTCGTGTGCTGCTGCCTGGCGGGGCCGGCGGCGGTGGGGTGAGCGTGCGTGTGTTGGGGGCACCGGGGGCCTACGCCTCCTGGCATGGCCTGCAGGCCAGCCGGCGCTGCGACGCAGCGAGCCGAGCCGTCCCTCTCTGTGCCTGCCTGCCCGCCTTTGTGTGCCTCCTGCCTGCCTCACAGGCCCAGCCACTCTCCGCCAGCCGCGGCCCTGCCACCCACAGGCCAGGCCCAACACTCTTGCCTGCCGCCACCCACAGGCCCCAGCACTCCCTGCCACCCACAGGCGCTGCCACCCACCCACTAGGAAGTAGACGGCGGTGCGTGCGGCAAACAGGCGCCACTCGCAGAACTGTGTGAGCGCCCACATGGCCCACACCGAGGCCCAGTAGATGAGCGGCCAGCAGCCCAGGAAGAAGCACCAGCGCCATAGGTTGAAGCAGGCCAGCTTCTGCGGGGCGGCGGAGGTGGGTGGGCAGACAGGGGTGGGCAGGGTGGGGGCAGGGGCGCCGGCCAAGAGGCTGGCCGCGCGCTGCTGTCCGTGCAGCGTATGCGCGCAAGCAGCCCCATCGAGAGGGAAGAGACGTGAGGGCTCCCTGCAGGGCCCATGGCGAGGCAGGCAGGAGCAGGCCACGCCCGCGGTGGCGCTGCGCCACGCCGGCTGGAAAGGATGCAGCACCGGCCCTCCTCTGCTCATCCCCAGCCAGGCAGGCAGGCAGGCAGGCAGCCAGCCATGCAGGCAGCCTCACCACGTCTGGCCACTCCACCAGTGTGACGATGCCTGTCAGGAAGAAAGCGAGGCTGATGGTGAAGCTGAGGAAGCGGCCCCAGAAGCTCCAGCGCTGGTACCACCGCACCTTCCGTCCCGCCGCAATCTCCGCCAGGCCCAGCTGCGCGGCACACCGGGCGGGTCAGGGGTGAGGAGGAGGGGCAGCGGCGCAGCGAGAGCCGGGCAGCGGCTCAGCAGGGGGGGCGGCGCGGCGGGCAGGGCCACGTGCAAAGCAGCTGCACGCAGCAGGGCGGCATGCAGCAGCACGCCGTGCTCGGCTCCCACACGGGGCCCAGCGTTCCCTGCCAGCGGAGTGGCGCGGCGCTGCTCTGCGCACCATGCCAGCCAGCCCCTCACCTCGTCGCCATCGGTAGTGATGGCGGCGCTGCTGCTGGGCTCGGCGCTGACCCCCACACACTTCCCCTCACTTGATTCCTTCTCCAGCCCCGCCTCTGCAAAGCACACGGTGCCCGTCCTCGCCTCCGCCGCCCCCAGCCGCTCCTCCTCTCGCTGCTCCGCCTGCCGCCGCTGCTGCTCGCCCGCCGCCAGCTGCTGGCACGTCGCCGCGGCCGCCGCGGCGGCGGCGGCGGCCAGCCCTGCTGCAGCAAAGGGGTCCTGGGGCGGCGGCAGCCCGGTGGTCGCCCGCCGCTGCATGCCGTCCGCCGGGGTCGGGGCAAACCCAAAGGACGGCACGCGCTGCAGCTGGTGGAAGGTGGCGGCATGCCCCCGCCACTGCCTGCCCTCGCCGCCCGCCGGCACGCTGGCGCGCTTGGCGGCGGCGGCGGCAGCGCCTGCAGCCGATGCCAGCAGCGCCGCTGAGTCTGGAGAGAGCTGTGCCTGGCGCTCTTGCTGCTGCTCCTCCGCCTCCTGCTGCTCTTGCTCCTGCTGCGACGGCGGGAGGTGGTCAAGCAGCTGGGGGCTGCCGGTACCGCCGAGCACCTGGTATTGCTGGTACTGCGGAGCAAAGGTGAGGCTGGGCGGGCTGGGCGGGCAGCGCCCGTACTGCTCTTCCCAGTCGCCGCCATCCTGCTCGGCACGCGCCGCGGGGTGGCGGCTGTCGCGCTGCCACCCACCCGGCCCCAGCCTGGAGTGGTGTGTGGGGCTGGGCGGCGGAGACAGCACGCCGTGCGGCGCGAGCGAGGGGCTGCCTGCGGGCGCCGGCAGGTAGGCAGCAAGGGCCACGGGCGGCGTGAGAGGCAGGGTTTGGAGGCAGGCGGGCGCCGGAGACAGCAAGCACAGGAGATGCACGGATCGGCCCGGGCACTTCTGCATGCCGCCACCAAACAGGGCCGCAGAGCGGGGCAGGCCATCGGCACCTGAGCCTCCTGCGTGATGCCAGCTGCCGCCGGGAGGTGAGGGCACGGACCGCGCGTGGCTGCGCTGCACCACTCGCGGCTGGTGGTCGTGTGCAGGCAGGCTGACTCGGGCGGCGGCGCCGCCGTGCACACTGCCGGCGGGGCTGTAGAAGCCCTCGCCGCCCACGCTGCTGGTGGAGCTGGCCCTCCTGTCGTCGTCGCCCGGCAGGCCATGTTGCAGCCCATAGGCGGCCGCCAGAGCCTCGCTGCTGAGGCCCACGGCGCCCGCGGACCAGCCACCCTCCCCTGCGCTGTTGAACATCCCGACTGCCTTGGAAGGCCCTAGCGCTGCTGTTGCATGGCCAGAGATCTCGGCCCGCAATGGAGATCACCTGCAACGGGCGATTTTCGTGTCGGTTACACCCCGGCAACTTGCTGTTACTGCCGTGGCTTGCCTATTGCGTTGTCGATCGATCCCATCAATCTAACAACGTGCAGTATGTTCGAGGTGCCCGTGCAGCATGTTGCACATGCCGCTCACACACATGCAGCCCAGTAGTGCTGCCAGCGGCTGCATCGCGCTTCTGCCGCCCGATCAGGCAATTCACCGCCCCCTGCAGGCCTTCCGCCTCGCTCGTCCCGTGGGCGGGGCAGCAGCCGCGCGCTCTGCGGGCCAGGGGCCGCCCCGGGCCGCAGCAGCATCGCCAGCAGAGCAGCAGGGGCCGCCCGCCAAGCGGCGCCGAGGGCAGCCGCCCGCCACCAGCGGGTCGGGTGCGGCGGCAGCGGCGGCGGCGCCGCCACAAGCACCTTCACCAGCCGGTGGCCTGGCCCTGGAAAAGATGGGGGACGCGCCGCTGCGCCTGGTCATTGTAGGTAGGCTCGTCTCCAGCACACGCAGCTTCATCTGGGGCTGCCTGCACCGCACCGATCTGGTCCACCCACTTGAGGTGCAAGTGCTGGTCGCCGTGCCAAGCCTTCAACTCCTGCGCGTGCCGCGCCTCTGTGCCGCAGGGCACAACCCTAGCGAGCACGCCTGGGCCAGCAGCCACTTCTACTCCAACCCCACCAACTGGTTCTGGCGCATCCTGCGGGACACGGGCATCGCCCCGCCCGCCGCCATCTCCGGCGCAGCTGACGACGGCAAGATGCCCGCGGTGGCGGGGGTTGGGTTCACAGATGTGGGCAGCGGCGCCCCAGGCACCGACAGCTCCCAATTCACAGCCCAGGACTTTGAGGCCTGGCGCCCCGCCTTCTATCAACGCATGGCAACGCAGGCACGCCGTGCCAGCGCCGCCATCGGCTGCACGTGCGGCGCCTGCGGCGCGCCCTGCATAGTGGCGTTCAGCGGCAAGCGCCAGTTCCAGGAGCTGTTTGCTGGGGCCGCGGGCGGCGGCAGGGGCAGGAGCAAGGGGGCGGCAGTCGCTCAGGCAGCGCCAGCAGCAGCAGGCGCAGCGGGCCCGCCGTTGGGCGAGGGCGCGGTGGCAGCAGCGGCGGCGCCCCAGCAGCAGCAGCAGCAGCGGGCTCCCACGCTGCAGGCGCGGCGGCCCAGACGCGTAGACACCGGCAGGCAGTGGGTGCTTCCCGAGGGCTGGCCGCTGCCGCTGGACACAGAGGTTTGGCTTGCTGCTGCCCACACCTTTTGTGTCTGCATGTGCCTGCCGCCTGGGCATGCTCGCCACCTGCCTGCCGTCCCCGCAGTGGTGCCGTGTGTGCCGTGTGTGCCGTGCTGCTGCTGGTCTGACCCTAAAGCTGCCCGCTCTGGCTGACGGCCTGCCACGGCCTGCCACCCACGTCTGTTTCTGCTCCTGCCATCCCACGGCGGTGTGTGCAACAAGAGGGTTGCTGCCGCTTGGCTTGCAGGTCTGGGTCATGACTTCTACCAGCGGCGCGGCACCCATGACGCGGCAGCAGCGCCTGGCACCCTGGCAGGCCCTGGCAGAGCGCCTGCGGCAGGAGCCCTGGCCGCGGCGCTGCGTGGTGCGGTGCCGCGGCGGCGGCAATGCCGGCGCCTGACTCTTGGGGCAGTGTCCGGGCGCCCTGCATGCTGGGTGTGCTGTGTATGCTATGTTACATGCGGTGCCTGATGCAAGCAGAGGCCTGAGAGGCCGGCCCGGCAAAAACGAGGTGGCTGAGGGCCAGAGTCACAAAACCGCGCAATAGCGCGAGTGGGGGGTGCCGGAAAAATCCGTACATGGGGGAGGACTGGAAAGAAACGGGAATGTGCTGCTGGACGGCGGACAAGGTGAACACTGCTGGGAAGACACTGCTGGGGGGGGGGGAGATTGATTCGTTGCGTGGGGCAGCTGGGGGCTGGGGGCCCACTGCCTGCATTAAGGCGGCCGCATCAAGGGCATCAAGGGGACAGAACATTAGCCGGCATGGCGGCTGCCAAAAAAAGCACAAATCGGCACAAGGGGACGGATGGAAGGAACAGGAAGAGGGCTGGACTACGGGGTCCACGTGATGGCCTGACAAAGAAACAGGCGGGAAAAGGAAGCAAGAGAAAACTTGAGGGTTGGCGCAAGGGCGAGGGAGCCCTTGGTGGCACTGGCCTCGAAGCGTGGACGTTTGAAAACTGAGGCACGGTTGGGCCACTTGGCAGTCGTTGTGGATCATCAGCCAGCAGGAGCGGCCCCAGCTGGAGGGATGATCTCCTGAGGGTCTTATGCGTGGGAGGTGCGTCTGAAGGGTGCGTGATGTTGTGGTGTGGCGTCGTTGGCTGGTAGGTGGGCCAGGCCAGCCGGTCGGCATCACTCTGCATCCTCCGCCTCCTGGCAGCCGTCCTGCAAGCGGCAGATGCAGAACGTTTGGGGGAGGACAGTCAGCCGGCATGCTGTGCAGTGGCCGTGTTGGCTGCCTTCCTGCACAGCCGAGCGTGGCATGCTTGGCGCAGCGTGCCAGCCACTTGCCTGGCCTTCAGGCAAAGCGTGCGCGATGGGCGCGGTGCGGTGGCTGCTGATGGCGGCCGAACCAAAGGTCGCCAGCTGAGGCAAGTGGTCCATGCTGCTGCTGCGGGCCATGCCGGGCGGCGGCGGGGAGGCCGCGGACTTGCCGCCGCTGCCGCCGCCGCCCTCGGCAGCCATTGCCACGCTCCTGGGCGCTGCTGGCGGGCCTGCCATGCGGCGCAGGTGCTGCTGCAGGTGGTCTGCGCCCGAGGGCAGCAGCAGGGTGGACAGCCGCTCCCTCACCGAGTGCAGGCTGGCCGCCAGCACGGCCAGAGCGATGCCTGGCTCCCCAGGGTCTGCCGCAGTGGCCGTCGCTGCCGCCGCCGCCTCGCGCTCCGCCTGCTGCTGCCGCTCCTGCTGCTGCACCGCTAGCTCCAGGATCACCGCCTCCTCCACCTCCCGCCGAAGGAGGCCCAGCCGCTCCTCGCTGCAGGCAAGCAACACACCAGGCGCCGTGCGTCAGTGATTGGCGGAAGAGGGAGGAGCGTTTGGGGCGAGCGGGGCCTGTCTGGCAGGAGAGTGGGCCTGAGTAGGCCCAGTTCACGGCAGCACACAGTGGGCATGATGAAAGAGCAGGGCAAGAGCCTGAGCAGACAGAGCTCACGCTCCGGCGCATGGAGCTCACGCTCTGCGCACCTATCCTGCACCTCCTGCCAGCACGCCACCACCGCCGACTTCAGCTGCTGGCGCTCCTCCTGCAGCGCGGCCACACGGGCGGCCGCCGCCCTCGCTGCTTCCTGCAGGCGCGGTGCAGGGGCCGGGCGGAGCCGGGGGTGCCGACGGGTGAGCGCCTGAAGGGAGAGGCAGGCTCGCTGGGCCATGCCGCAGGCATGGATCCACGCCGGCTGCAGGCAGGATTGGCGGCCAGCAAGTGCCCGGGGGCAGGCATCCCAGCCCGGGACCAGCTTCCCACACCTTCCGCACCCACCTGCAGCTGTGGGCACTCCACCACCGTGCCTCGCGTGTCGGCAAATCGGCAGGTGACGAGCAGCCCCGCGTCGTCAGCCGCCGCCGCTGCATCCAGCCGCGGCACGCGCAGCCGGCGGTCGGCCCCGGGCTCCCAGTACAGCGTCACGCCGTCGCCCCGCACGATCACAAGCTTGAATGCCACGTGGCGACCGGACGGTAAAGTGAGCTCGCCCTTCCACACGTCGTCCTCGTGCCAGATGAGCGCGGGTGCGGCCTGGGCATCCCACTCCCCCAGCTCCGGGCAGTTGCCCACCACCCGCAGGTGCTCCCCAAACTGCAGGTGGCAGCCGGGCACGGTGACCGCCACCCGCACGGCGGCGGCGGCGGCGGCGGTGGCGGCCGCGGGGGAGGCCGCAGAGGTGGTGGCAGCCGCGGGAGATGCTGCCGCTGCCTCCTCCTCGTGCGGCGGGAACTCTAGGACGTCTGGAATGACGGCGGGCAGCTTCGCCGAGGAGGGAGAAGGCTGGCGGTCGGCAGCTGGGGCAGCCGTGATTGCCACCTCCCGCTCAGCCAGCAGCGTGGCTCCCTGCATGCATTGGATGGAAACGAATGCGAGGGTTGAGGGTGCTGGGCGACGGCAGTACCAGGGCAGAGCCCATGCAAAGCTTGCGCCTGCCGGCGGCTGGCCGCTCACACTCACCGCGGCGCCCCGGCCCTGCTCCCGGCGCTTGCTCCGCTGCTTCACTGGGCGCGAATTGCCTGCAAGGAGCGCAGAGGGAGGGGTGTCAGCCCAGGGCAGAGTGGTGTGGGAGGTTGTGCGGCCACGAGTCTCCCACCGCGCATGGCTCCTGTGCTGACTGGTGGCCGACAGGCAATCCCGCGCACCCGCTGCATGCGATCGCTGCTTGCGATTGCTACTGCGGGCACGGGGCTGCTGCTGGGCCTGGCACACCAGGCGGGCTGTGGCAGTGGCGAATGTCTGCATTCTGTGTTGAACGCCCTCGCAACGGGCACCGAAGATAAAGAGATGGTCCAATTGATGGTGCCGACGTCCTGACAAGCGCATCCAGTGCTGCCCCATCTGGGTGACCTGCCCCGCTGGCGCCGCCGCTGAGCATGATGGGCGTCCCCTGGTGCCCTGCCTCAGCTGCCTGCCTGACTTTCAGTGGTCATCGATCTGAGTTCGCAATGAAAATGATTTCAGCTGAAGCCCCGGGCTTGCGCCCCAGCTGCGCCTCGCTGGGGTTGTCCGGTCCTTCGTTCAGCCTCCTGCTGCACTGTAGGACGCCACCAGTCGGCAGTCGGCTCCATCCCCGGCAGCCGTCGCCTGCGGGAGCGAGCGTGCGGGCCGTGGCCTCGCCGCCGCAACCTCCACCCGCCTCCGCCCGAGCCGCCACACGCCCCGCAGCCATTGCCGCTGCCGGTGAGTCCCTGGCTGAGACACCTCTGCTCCTGGGATGGCTCACATGCACAAGACATAGAGGGGCCATGTCGTCACTGCTACCTGCACGCTACCTGCCTGCCTGCAGGGTGGAGTGACCGGGCAGGGTCCCCGGCCAACCCGCCTTGCCAGCGACAGCCGGGCCACTGCGGTAACGGCAGCAGCAAGTGGGCCTCGCGGCTGCCGGCGCCACAGCTACACGGCGGCCTGCTGCCGCTGCCGCTGGCCGAGGCGGCGCGCTGCGTGCTGGCGGCTCTGGCGGCGGCAGCGGCGGCCTCACCCCTTGTGGGCATCGTGCTGGCAGCGCTCCTCTGTGTGGCGGTCTCGGTGGTGGGCCTGGTGGCGGCACGGGCGCTGGGCTGGCTGGGCCGCCGCCCCGCCTTCTCTTATCTGATGCAGAGCAAGGACGAGTATGCGGCAGGCGGGGAGGAGCCCGAGGCCGACGCCTGCAAGTTGCTGTGACTCACAGAAGAGTCTTCTGTTGGAGGCTTGTTTGCTGTTTATTCTTCCCCGCTCTCCTGTTCAACTGCTTGGCATTAACTGCAGCTTTCACTTGGTAATGCACGGTACTGCGAGGCCTGCTGAAAGTGAATAGCGGGCGGGGCAGGACAGCCTCTGTCGCCCGTCAGCGCGCCCTGGTGCCACCAGTGGTGGCATATGCCTGGTGCTGCTGCTGGCGGGCGTCTCTGCTGCCGCACCATGGGTGCCCATGCTGCTGCTGATGGTCTCCTGCTGCATCGTGCTGAGCCTGCGGCCAACAGCCAGCAGGAGTTGGGAGCGCTTACAAAGCACTGTGTACAGCAGTTGCAGTACTAGCAGCAGCAGTACGCTGGCAGCCAGCGGGGGAACCGCCGGAGGGAATTGCATGCCCTGCACCCTCCTTCACTGCCAGTGGTGCCTAAGGGGTGCAACCGTTCACAGGGGGCGGAGTGTCGGAGCCAACTTTTGATAACGTCAAGGTTCCAAGTGGCTGCTCAAGGGCGGGCTCTCGCCCTGACGCCTGCAAGCCGCAGCAGCGGGATGTTGCATGCGCAACCGATCGGTAATGGGCGAGTTTTGTCAAACAAGCTCCGAGGGGGCACAACGACCGGAGCACTCATGGCGAGGAGAACAGCAGCGGATACGTCGGGATGCGAAGGACGGGGAGGATGTTTTCACATTCACAAACATGTTCAAACTTCTCGTGGATCCATGCTCCCAATGACAACAGCCAGCCCCCGGCTGGCGGTGCTGGGGCTGGCGCTGGTCCTCTCGGTGACCGCTGCCCCGCCTCCTCCAGCCCCAGCACCGTCCCTACTCCTCCACCAGGCCTACTTCAGCTCACAAGGAGCAGGCGGAGGGGGCGGCGCGGTGATAGCGCCCAACACTTGGCTGCAGGGCACGCCGCTAGCGGGCGCTGCAGAGTTCCCTGCAGGACAGCCACAAGACTGCGCGCCGGCCTGCTCCTCCCTCCCGGGCTGCTCCTACTTCGTGTGGTGCGGAATCCAGGTGAGCCCGGCGCGCGGGACGGCTGCGAGGGGTGGCAGAGTGGTCTCCCACCACCCAGGGGGTGTGGCCGCCAGCGCCCCCCCGCCGCAGCCTCTCCGGCAGGGAGCAACCGCCGCCGATCGCCGCCGGTGCTAGCTGTCCACCTAGACGCTGATGGCGGCCTGCCTTCCGGTGCGCGCAGGGGGGCTGCCGGCACGGCAATCAGACCTTGGAGTTCCAGCAGTGCCGGCTGCTGGGCAGCGGCTGCACGCTCGTGCCGCGCGTGGCGGCGCCCGCCCCCAGCCAGGCCACCTCCGGCTTTCCGCTGCCCGCGCAGCCGCCGCCGCAGCTGCCCGGCTGGGCAACGCGCCCGGCAGAGGGCCTGGAGGGTAGCGACTTCCCATGCGCAGCAAGCGCGGTGGGGGGCGCCTGCGCTTTCCACTCTGCGCTGGACGCCGCGGCGGTGTGCGGCGTAATGGACCAGTGCCGCGCCATCGTGGTGCACTTGAACGGTACGGGGCGGTACGGTACTAGAAGCCCCTGGCTGGATCAACACGCTGCCGCCGCCAGCCGCGTGCCGATCACTGCCAGTCTGGGGTGTGCCGGTGTGCTGCCACGCGGTGCACGCTTGCCGACGGGCGCCGCCTGTCGGGCGCCCCCGCCGCCGCAGGCACCGACGGCTGCTCGGCCCCGCTGGCGGTGCTCAAGCAGCGGCAGCTGACGCCAGACACGACCTTCCTGGCCCCCTCGGTCTACACTCTGGAGAAAGTCAGCAGCGACCCTGTGGTGCGCCGCCCTTGTGGAGCGGTTGAGTGGCAGCCAGCCAGGGTGCATGCTTGGGGGCCCAGCAGCTGTCGCAGCCGGTCCCGGAGCCCTGTAGCAGCGCCCCGCTGAACCATGCGCGCCCCGTCTGGTGCCTGCCGCCTGTGCAGACGTCAAGCTACCTACACGTCGGCGAGGCCACCGTACTGCTGCCAGGGGCGCAATCCGAGACCGAGGGTACCGGCACCGGCACGCAGTGGATGGGGTGCATCGTGGCACGCAACGCGCTCATGCAGGGGGCGGTGGTCCGGACGCTGGACGGGGTAGCGTCACAGGAGGCATGCTGCCGCGCGTGCAGAGGCCTGGGCGCGGGCTGCAACGGTGGGTGGCGGCTTCAGCGTGCGCCTGGGGCCTCGGCGGGGCGGCTGGAAGGCGGCGGCCTGGGCGTGTCCCCGCTGCTTGCGCGCTGTGCAGCGGTGGGACCTGCAGGTGCCGTGTGGCGACGCGTCTGTGCCGGTGTTTGGGTTATGGGGAATGAACCGAAGCTCGCCGCCTGATTGGCCTGTGTACCCCCTGCAGCCTGGAACTTCTGCCCTGAGGAGGAGGGGTGCAGGTGAGGCGGCCACCTAAGCTACAGCACACCCGCCAGCACGTGACCAGCAGAGTGCCACGCCGCGCGCTGTGCTGCATGCTGAGCGAGCGCGCTGTGCCTGCTGTGCCTGCCGTGCCTGATGTGCAGCTACAGCGACCACGCCCAGCGGGTGGTTCTGTCCCACCGGCAGTGCGAGCTGCGCTATCAGGAGCTGGTGAGTCCGAAGCGCTTGCAGCAGCTGGCGCTGCCACCGCTTGCGCGGCAGCCGGCGCCTGCGAGTGCCGGTGCTGGGGGCGGGCGTCGCCCCCACGCCGCTGCCGCCGCCGCTGCCGCCGCCACGCCTGTTCCGTGCTCGGCGTACCGCTCCTCACCTGCCTGCCTGCCTGCCTGCTGCCACCCACGCCTGCGCCTGCCGCAGGTGGCGCCCGAGGTGGGCTGGCCGCCGGCGGTGATCGACAAGGGGCCTGCCATCCAGTTTTCGGGCGGCTCCCCCATCGTGGCCAGCGGCCAGGAGGTGGCAGGGTACACGCGCCACATCGGCGCCGGCCTGTTTGGCCAGCCTGGATTCAATTGCTCGGGCTCCCTCAGGTGGGGACCTGCTGCATGCTGCTGCTGCTGCTGCTGCTGCTGCTGCTGCTGGGCTCTCATTTATGGGCGACAAGGCAGGCAGGCAGGCAGTGCCTGCCAGGCAGTGCCTGGCAGGCAGACAGGCTGCCGCTGCCTACCTGGATCCGCGCCCCCCCCACACCCTCCTGCTGCCGCCGCCGCCACCGGTGCAGGGCGGAGCTTGGGGAGTGCGCGCTGCACCTGCCCCTGGCCGAGATGGGGCGGTACTGCGACGGTACGCCTGAGTGTACCGCCTTTGTGCTGAAGCCGGCTGGCGTGTTCAAGAGCGGGCTGGCGCTGGCGCTGTTCCGCCGCAATTCCTCGGCAGCCGACATCATCTATAGCCCCTCGGCAGTTGCTTACGTGCAAGAGGGGCAGGAGGCGCAAGGCAGCGGCGCGGCAACGGCAGCGGGTGGGTCGGGCCTGTCTGCCGGCGCCGTGGCGGGGATCGCGGGGGGCGCGGCGGCGGGCGTGGCGGCGGCCGCGGCCGCGGCCGCGGCGCTGTGGTGCCACCGCCGCCGCCGCCGCGTGCGGCAGCAGGAGCGGGACGGCCGTGCCAGCAGCGCCAGCCTGGCTGGAAAGTCTGGAGTGGCGGCAGAGGAAGGGCACAGCGGTTGGGGCAGCCAAGACGACTCTGCCTGCTGCCAGCCTGAGGAGCCTGGCCAGGGCACAGCAGCGGCATCAGAAGCGGCAGGCGCCGGGGACGGGCCGGATGTGCCCGCCCAGCAGCCCCTGCCCGACCCCAGCAGGCTGCAGGCCGCGTGGCAGCGGCCAGAGGCAGCCGCCCCCGCCGCCGATGAGGTGGCAGAGGCCTGGGCAGCGGCCCTGCGGCTGCAGAAGCAGTCCACGTTCGACCGGCTGGAGGCGGCGGCGGCGGCGGTGGCGTGCGCGGGGCAGGCGCCGGCACCCCTCAAGGCCCCTCGCAGCGTGTGCGCCACACCCCGCGGGGAGACCATGCCTGCCAGCCCCTTCGCAGCGCTCGCCCAGGAGGCGCCCAGCGGCTTTGGCAGCCAGCCGACGTCCCTCACGCCGCCCTTTGGTAGCAGCGGAGCCGTGACCCCCGTGCGCGTCTCAGGCGACAGCTTGGGCGGCGCAGGCCGCTTCTCAGGCGCCAGCGCCAGCGGCGCTGGCCGCTTACAGTTGTCTGGCTGCGGCGGGGCGGAGGTCGCAGTGCACCCCTTCCCCCCACAGCTGCCAGCCCGCGTGAGGTGCAGCGGCGGCGCGGGCCGCTGCTCCGCCGGCAGCTGCGTGGAAGCTCCCACGTCCCCGCAGCTGCCGGCGCTGCGCTGCGGTACCGCCTGCCGCTTCTCTGGCGGCAGCGTGGCCGAGGCGGCGGCGGGGGTGCCCCTGCACCCGCCCGCGCTGCCCAACCTCCGCGGCGCCCAGGGCTTCCCCGCCGCCGCCGGCCGCTCCCTCTCCCTCCCCATCCCCGGCACCCCCAGCAGCGAGGCGGACGCCGAGTGCGGCACCCCGCACCACCAGGCGCCGCCGCTGGCAGAGCTGCTGCGCCACCGCGCCCGGCAGGACGGCAGCCAGGCGTTGCAGAGCAGCTGCTCCACGTGCCGGCCCAGCCTGGAGGCAGCCCCCTCCCTGGCCGCTTGGTCACCCTGCCCTCTCCCGCCGGAGCTCCACAAGTGGGCGGTGGACCTAAGCGAGGCGACCCTGCTGCGCTGGCCCAACGGCACGCTGCAGCGGCTGGGCGCGGGCGCCAGGTGAGGCTGGCGTTGCTCGTACAGCCTTCCGCACAGCCTGCTGCCGCCGGCTGGCCGCCAGCTGCCTCTCCTTGCCGAACTTGTCAGTGCGCTTTGCCCCACCCTGCATCTTGCGCCCGCCCTGCTTTCGCCCGCCACCTGCCCGCCACCTCTGCCCGCCACCTGCCCGCCACCACCTGCCCGCCACCACCTGCCCGCTGCCTGCCCGTCACCTCCAGCGGCGGCCCACCCTGCCCCGGCCTGCACCTGCGCCTGCACCTCTGCAGCGGCGCCGTGTTCCGCGCCATGTACCGCGGAGAGGTGGTGGCGGTGAAGGAACTGGACATAGGGCCCAGCTCTCCCGAGGCCCAGCTCGCCTTTGTGACGGTGAGCGCCAGGGCCGGCGGCAGGCCATACTGGCCGGCCGCAGCGGCGCTGCCCGCCTGCCTGGTGGTGCCCCTCGCCCGGGCACGCCCTCAGCCGGCAGCAGCCGATCGCCCGCACCTTGCTTTTGACTTCCTTCCCGCCCGGCGCTTGCTTTCTTCCTCCCCCGCGCGCTTTCTTCCTCCCCCGTGCAGGAGGCTATGCGCATGGAGCTGCTGCGCCACCCCAACGTCGTTTCTTTCTACGGCGTGTGCATCAACCCCGAGAGGGAGAAGGGCCTGCTGGTGCTGGAGTGCTGCGAGGGGCGCGACCTGCACAGCGCGCTGCAGCTGACGGCGGCGCCCCCCGCCCCGCCCCAGCGCATCTTTGGATGGCACCTCAAGGGGCGCCGCGTGGCGCTGGAGGTGGCAAAGGTGGGCCTGGGCCCTGGGGCTGGGCGGCGGATGGGGCGTGGTGGGCTGGCTGGTGGGCTGGCGGGCGGGCGCGGCAGGGGATTGGGTATGCGCTGGTATGCCCTCCACAGCGCGCCCCCTTTCCACACTGTGGCACGCACCACCAGCCGCACAACTCGCCGCCGCTCTTGCCTGCCTGCCCCTGCCTGCCTGCCTGCAGGCCCTCAATTACCTTCACGCCAAGGTGTGTGCCTGCGCGCTTGTGTGTGTTCGTGGGTATGCAGGCGGTGGGCTGCGGCCGGGCGGGGCGCGCGCTTGCCAGCCCTCGCCGCTGCGGTGCCCGCCCGGCTCCCTCTCCACCGTGTCTTTGTCCACCTGCCAGTGACCTTATCCTGCCATGCCATGCCTTGCCTTGTGTTGCCTTCCCTGCCTTGCCCTCCCTCTCTTGGTACCGCAGGGCATCATCCACCTGGACGTCAAGGCTTCCAACGTGCTGCTGACCGGTACCGGTACCGCCAAGCTGGCGGACATGGGCCTGGCCCGCCTCAAGCGCGGCACCTTCCTGTCTGACGCCGCCCCCGTGGGCACCTTTGCGTGGACGGCGCCCGAGGTGCTGTGGGGCCACCAGTGCGACCAGTCAGCAGACATCTACGGCTTCGGAGTGGTGGGTTGGCGGCCGCACTGCCGCACGCCCCGGCCTGCCAAACGCGCCGGCGCCTCCCGCTGCTTTTGAGGCTGATAATCAAGCTGCCGCCGCGCCTGTGCCGGCCCCTGCCCACCCACACCCACTCAGTCGCTCACACACACGCACACACCTCTGCCCCGGTTCCCCGCTCTGCAGCTTCTATGGGAGATTTGCACAGGGGAGCCACCCATGCGAGGCCGCCTGCGCCTGCCAACCGTGCCGGAGGAGTGCCCCCAGGTGCGGCTTGACCTGGTTGCATGGGCCCATGGAGCCTGCGTCAAATTTGCGGCTCCGTGGCGCTGTCGCTGGCGTCTGGCACGTGCGCATGCATGCAGCTGATGTGGAGGACCCCTCAAGCAGCCCTGCTGCTGCTACACCTTCACACTGGGATTGTGGTTGCAGGAGGTGGCTGATCTCATGATGAGGTGCCTGAGCTTCGAGCCGCGGCAGCGGCCCAGCGCCGAGCAGCTGGTGCAGCAGCTGTCGGCGCTGGCGAGAGGCCGGTCGCCCGCCGCCGCCACGCCGACTGCCACCGCTGCCTCCTGACCAGCGGGCGGCGGCGCAAGCTCTAGCCCCGCCCCAGAACTAGTAGCCCTGTCTGGTCAAACACGATTTGCAGCTAACTTAGCGCAAAAGCGAACGTGATGATTTTCATTCCAACGGAAAACGTTCTCTACATTTGAATAAACCTGTGCAGCCAGCGCTCGCGCTGGAGCCTTCTCCCCTCATGCATGTGTCAGCCACACAGACCACAACCACAACCCAACGTATGCTTTTGTCCAAACTATCTAGGGCCCGTTGCCGTGCACCACCCTGCGCATCCACTGCCGTCCCTGCTATCCGTGTTCCTTCGCTCAGCCGGTGGCATCCAGCCATCGTCGCCTGTCTCAAGCTGTCGAGGTATCCAAAACCTTATAATATCTTTCATCTTTTGTTATTTGCACTCTCTCTCCTGAATTTCCCCGCTTCCCCATTCGTCTCACAATGCCGACACAAGCTCGCTGCTCATTATAGCCTATTATAGCCAACAGTAGCCCACCCGTCCGCTCACAGAGAGCCATCGCGCCGGCCTCGCGCCGATCACCCCCACACCCCCACCCTCCACACTCACCCACCCACCCATCAGCATGTCAAGCAGCGAGGGAGCCAGCCTTGGGCAGCGCAGCCAGCAGCCGATCAGCAACCCGGCCTCCCGGGCATCCCTGCGGCCCGATTTCCCCCATATCGTGGTCAAGGGGCTCGCTCTGGAGGCCGGTGGGGGCCTGGGGGCCGCAGTCGCAGCCTTCGTTTTGTTTTGCCGGGCCAGCCTTCACCTGCCAGTGCCTGACTGTGTGCCTGTGACCTC